GTTCATTCGAAGGTCTTCGATCGGTGGTGCTCTGGTCAAATTCACATAATATAATATACATATTTATACATATTTGTATACCCATGCCAAACCGTCCACGTACGTATGGCAAATGTATGCCTACCCCATTATACTCCTTTTTAACTACCCCTATGCATAGGGTCAATAGGGCAGTCCCACTGGCAGTCCCATGGATGGTCTGTCTGTAATGACCTCCCAGTTCGACCCCCTGGAAGAAGGGCAAATAGACCAGTCTAATGATTGGCCCGAGGGGGTCTCTCTATTGACATACACACCCATTCCTGGAGCTGGGCAAATCCGCCATGACCAATGATCCAAGCGGCCTTGGATAACTCCTCTGCCTCGTCCGAGCGCAACCAGGCCGCCAAGGAGGCCATCGTCTCACAGACCTTGAGTCCGAACGCCATGCCGGGGAACGAAAGGTGATGGCACTATGGCACCTGGTTTGAAGGGGGCTGGCAGGACTGCTGGCAGGTGATGTCTTTTGGTGTGGAGAGTCCCCACCCAGAGGATCGATGTCAAACCCCGGAACACGATCTTGAACACAAAGAGAATCAGAATGGTCTACCATGGTCGCCATGCCCTTCCATGCGTTGTCTGCATGTAGAACAAGAAGAACATGTGAAACAACCGATGCCTGGGTCGAGTCCGGTCTGTTGACAGTTGTGTGTGATGCCTGACACCGGATGCCACATGTAACGAGAAGTATCGGCCTCCAGGCCATGATATACGTGATTTGGCGAGGCTTTTGTGTGCGTTGAGTAAACCGAGGGCTGGGAATAAATCAAGTTGGAGAGGCCCAAATCAGGGCTCAGTTTGTGAGCTGGATGGTTGAAAAACAAGAGGTCATAATTTTGCAGTTTTACATAAACACCCCGCTTACATTCATTGTGGGACTCTCGGTCAAATGTTGTCCGACTGCAGTCGCGAGTGCTGCTTTGCGGTCCCCACTTTTCTCAACTTCTCCACCTGATTTTCTGGTCCAAGAACCGCTGTTGGCCTGTTGCAAGGCTCTGCCGTGAAGGGGACATCCAAACCAATGTGGTTGGTTCATGCTTTTTTCATTGCCCGGAATCCCACTGCGCCACATGCCATGTGCCCCCAACAAGGCCCAAGCAAATGGAGGAGCCTCTTTTTCACCCAGTCGTCATCCCAAACGATCGGCGGAACCAGACCTGTTCAACTGGAGCCAGGGAGCATTGTCCCAGGAGTGCTGCTTCCCACCGAGTGGAACCCGTGGGAGGAGCTCTGTCCTTAGGGTGCTCAGGACCGGAGATGTGAGCATGCAGAGATCAGCAGATCCAAGCCTGCAAGAACCTGAAACCATTCCAAAAGCCATCCAAAAACCATAGGAGTGTCTGTTCCGTAATCTGTAAAGCGGTTGATGTATGGATGTTTGGGAAGTCAACGATCTCCGGTGAGGATGGAGGCAATCACTTCTTGGTTTGGCAAAGTCTGTCTTTCGGAAGATCCTTCTCATCAAACCCGGAAGTACAGGTGTACTTCACACACACACAACCGAGAGGCAAAGTAAGCCGACCAGTGCGGATTCGTCCAAGATGTGGCAATGTGTAAACCGCACATGTTTGAGAACTGAATTGTCACAAGGAGAATGGGATGAGATCGGTTGACTCACCTTCTTCACTTGGTGCCCATCTTGGCGTCCATCTTGGCACACCTCCGATTCCCAGAGCTCCGCGAAACACCCACGCTTCGGTCGAACCACGGCGCGGAAGATCGACCTGACTGTCCAAGAGGCGCCACATGAGCTCCCAGGTAGGCCATCCACTTCCTGATGCTCACTTGGCCACTGGGCTCGCCATGGTCATCCCGTCTGACTGGCTTTGAAAGGTGTGGTTGATCATGAAAGATCTGAAGAAACTGATCTGAACCCTGGCACCATGGCCGGAGTCCGTCTAGGTCACACGGCCTGGATACTTGGCCCAAAGGAGGGACGGCCCCGAAAAGCCAATCGGCCATGTGGCAGACATCTGAACCACTCCTTGAAAGTGATAAGGCAATCCTCTTAATATAGCACCAACCTGGGTTTGTCTACCAAACCAGCCTTTCCATTTCTCACTCTGAGAAACGTCTATTACTATCTCTGGCCCTTGGAAGCACCGCTGATTTGTGTTGGTTCAGAAGGCATGATCCATAGGGTGCCCGGCCTCTTCATTCGTTCCTTAAGCCTCTCAGCTGTGGAGGCCTCTTCAACATGGTGCATTTGACATCCCATGATCAACATGAAGACCCCAATGACTATGAATGAACCAACATTGCACCAACGACCCCCAAAAGCCTTCGGAACCAAACTAACCAAAAACAACATATATATATATGTATATATATATATATATACCAGCTGGCCCCAACGGGTCAATGGACAACCATGGACAACCATGGACAACCCTACCCTACTATACTTCTAGATCTCCATTGGGCATTCGAAGTGCTAGGTATATACAACAACAGGCAGAAAAGTAAATAGATTAAAGCATCTTGATATCCCCCCAATCGCACCCTGTGCGCGCACCGCTGGAGGTCCGACAGTGGCACCAAGGAGCGGTGTATCACTGCAGACCTCCTCGTTGATGGACGCCAATCGCTTCGCTCTGGGCGTGGGGACCGGCGGATGCGTGGAGACCGGTGATTCCACCGGGAGGGCGGGGAGGGCTGGGATCGGGGTCTTCCAGGTATGGGTCGTTCAGTGGCAAATAGATCATGTTGTTCAATATTCCAGCTTCTTCAAAATGATCTGTTTGGAGTCCCTAAGTGATATGCGTTTAATTCCAACACGATTTCTGATCTTCTCGCGCGATCAGTACAGTTTCTTGGGACCGCACACCACCTCGACCAAGCTCGACGGACCTGGACCGTCCGTTCGTTCGCTGTCGAGCGGCCTGCCAGAGCGTAGCATGCGAAGATGTGCCGAGCTGTCCAGCAGGAACAAAGGCATCGGAGCCTCGGGAGAGCCCAGGAGATGCGGGGAAGGCCTGGGGTTGTTCTCTGGTGAAGAAGAAGTGCTTCTGTGATCAAATGCCTCGGATCTGAAGACCACTTAATCCAAACAATACGTAATCTTAAGAGCAAACACCCAAATTGTAATGGGCTGTAATGGGCAAGACAAAATGGGTACTCTTAATCCGAAATGCGCTTTTGCATACTCTTGATGCCAACATCAAACCTCCCAAATGGATAGATTGGTGACACGAATGCTCTCTTTTTTTTGTGAACTCTACTTGCACCCTCAGAATATCTTTGAAGAGGCTGAATGCAAGATGGTACAGGTGCTTGTCGTGAAATATCGCCACGTCGCACTGGTGAAAGAAAGGGTTTACCTTGAGGTACGTTGGAGTGTCCCAAGTATTTTCCACGCAATTACAGTATATACTATATGATATGCTCAATTAGTTAAAGATTCTCCAGCTACACTGCGATAGAGCAAGGCCGTTGGTAAACGCACCCTGCCATCAGTACCATCCGCTGGTGTTCCCACCGATGACTCAGAGTCGAGAGGGTCCGAAAGCGCCGCAGAGAAGAGAAGTATGGCGCGGTGCTGGACTCTGCCGGATCTTCAAGGACGCTATTAGGTGGAGGCCATCGCAAGTAAGTTGGAGGCCATTATAGTAGCAAGAAGCCACTAGCTTGGAGGCGAAAAGATCCAAATCTTCTTTTGGGACTCTGAGTCGGTTTGAAAAAGACGGGACCTCAGAGAACACACAGTTCAGTGAACACAAAGGTTTAAAAGGACGGTCGGATTGTGGGTGGATTGTGGATCAGTTTGAAAGACAGGGATGTGTCTTTGGCAAAAGCCGTTGCCTGTGCTACGTCGGATGTTTTTCATGAACTTACAAAACACTCTAACTCTGCACAAGATCTTGGTGAGTTGGTGCTCCTTCAGTTGCTGGGCCAGAAATGCCCAAAGACCTATATCATATATCCGATACCCGAGCTTGGCTGAGCTTGGCTGGAGCTTGCGACCGAGCTTGGTTTTACATGGAGATTCTTGGAGCCGACGCGCGATTCGATGTTCAGCCCAGGGGACGTCTTGAGCATTCGGCTCTTCGACGCTGTTCGCCTCGACCTGTCCGGGTCACGTGGGTCGCGGCTTGGCTTTTCGGACACACTCAGCCCTGGAGGTCCAAAGCAATTGGATAAGCAAGGGTCTTAAAAATCAAGAAGCTGGTCGTTTAGGGAATGAGGGGTGTCAGAGCTGGCTGGGATAGGATTCCTTCCTTCAAGAGTAGTTCCTCTCACTTGTATTCATATCTAGAGAGCTAGCTAGCCACTCGGCTAAGAAAGACTCGTCTTTGACAAAGGGTGTCTATAATGTCCCTGGGTCCATGTCTATAGTGTCGCTAGGTCTGAAACTTCAGAGATGCAACGGCTACCACTTGTTATGCTTAAAGAATAAAACCTCGTTCTCTCGGAGGTCAATCACCATGTTGTAGACCTAGCAACTGGCGATGCCGCACCATGCCGCACCCGTTCAAGTGGAGACACGGCTTGCGGCTTCTTGGCTTTCTGAATCAGACACTTGCAATTGCACCCCACTAGAAGCCAAACTGATTGTTGCGAAGGAGCGTAGCGGTACACTTGGGATGTACTGTACCTTGTGGATGCTTCCTGATAACCATTGACTGTGGGGGATGACATGGTTGTCTCAGTCATGTGTGGTATCTATTCCATTGCGGATTGATGTTTTGATATTAGTTGCTTTGTTGGCTCTCACTCTGGCCACTCTTGCTCTGGTAGAATGAACTCCCCAGGTCTTGAAACCTGAAAGGTAACTAGGCTTGAAAAGGTTTGTGGCAAGAAGGGGCCCAGGCGACGTAGGCAATCTTCTTGAAAACCATTCCTCGTGGATCCACTGTCCACTTGGACTCCTTTTGCTTCAGTTGCTTGGCATATTCAGCCGGATTTGTGGTTCTTGGGTCATCCTGGGGATTTGTGGGCCTTTTGAGTCATCCCATGAGCACTAGTTCATCCTAAACCCAGTCAGGGAGAGGTGGCCCACGACCCCAGGCGCAGTTCAGGCCTTGACCAAACCCACAGCGCTGGGCGCGATGGGCGGCACTGCGATGGGCGGCTCGTGTGCTGCACCTCCGATGCCGGGCGCAGCACGGGGGGACAGAAATGGTGGATCCCGACATCCATCATGATTCCACCATCATCAATTCATCGTGAAATGATTTATACCTAGCACTTCCAATGGATGCCCAATGGAGATCTATAAGTAGGGTAGGGCTGTCCATTGGTGACCCGTTGGAAGCAGCTGGTATATGATTCATGATTGGTTTAAACAATCCACCATCATTGTCATCACCTCCTCCTCCTCCTCCTCGTCGTCGTCGTCGTCGTCGTCGTCCATCATACAGCATCATTCTTCATTGTTCTTGGTTGTCTTCCTTCATCCTTCTCATCACTATGGTGGGTTGTCAACCCCGCAACGAGATTCATGTCCCATCCATTGTCCGTCTATATATTAGAGTATATAAATATGAATCAAGAGTCAACATGAGAGTGCCAATGGTCTCGGTGGTTCCTGCTTCAAGAAAGCGGAGCGAGTTAGACCAGGTTCTTCTGCATAGCGCATGCTGATGTGAGAGGGATCACATTCACTCACATCAGCGGTTTTTTACGTGCGAAAAAGGGAGAGGTTGTCATTGAATAGATAGCAAAAACACCTTGCCAATGAATCACCGGTGATCAGGCTTGCACCAAGCCCTTGCAAGGCCCGACTGATTCTCACCACCAGTGTTCACAAATTGACCCGACACACTTGACTTCATGGATGTTAACAGTGGACTGATTGTTCCCTAACAGCCAACGAACACATTAAACTTGTGTTCGCCGGACCCAGGCTAACTCTGAGAATCTTGGAAATAAAAACAAAAACAAGCAACAAAAAAACAAAAGCCAAAACCAAAAGAAATCCAAAAAGCGAAAACAAGCAAATGAAAAACACAAAAGCAACAAATAGCATTAAAAAAAAAACATCCAAGAAGCAACAAAAGCAAATGAAAAAGCAAACACAAAAAGAAGCAAATCCAAAAAGCAAATGAAAAAGCAAAAGCGCAAAAAAATACGTACATCAGCGAATGAAACATCAAACGCAACAAGAAAAGCAAATCCAAAAGCAAAATAAAAAAGGCAAATCCAAAGAGCGAAAGCAAGTTTACTTTTTTCTTTTTGTTTTTTTTGTCTTTGTCGCTTTTTCTCGCGCTTTTTGTTTGTGTGTGTTTTGTTCGCAGTTATTTTTTCGCTTTTTGATCGTTTTTCTTTGTTGCTGTTTTTGTTATTATCGCTTTGTGCTTTTGCATTTACTTTTTTTGTGTTTTCGCTTGTTTGTTTTGGTTTTGTTTTTTGCTTTCGCTTTTTAATTTAATTTGTATTTGTTGCTTTTTGGATTTGCTGTTTTTGTTGCTTTTGCCGTTTCATTCGCTGATTTTTGCTTTTTGCTGTTTTATTTTGCTTTTTCATTTGCTTTTTGGATTTGTTTGTTTTTTGCTTTTGCTTTTTGTTGGCTTTTTTGCTGTTGTGTTTTTATGTGGCAAAACCTTTAGAGTTATGCTAAGTGGTTAACAACAACAACAACAACCACAACGACAACGACAACAACAACAACAACACGCCAAGCACCGCAGGCCTGGAGCGGAAAAAACAGCAAAAACATGCACACACAATGCTACAATGCGTTTCGCCCCCCGCGTGCCGCAACTCGAGTGCGGTCGTCCCCACCTGTGGGTGATGCAGGCGATTCAGCATCGATCACAGGGACTGGTTGCACTGGTTCCTTGCGGATCCTGGCACAAAACGACAGGGTCCGAACGCACCCCTCCCCCAGGGTCCAGATACGTCCATCATTAGCGTGGTAATGGCCATCAGAAGGAACAGCACGTTTTGCTTGAACAACTTCGAAAGTCGCTCGAGTCAATCTCGAGGTGCATATTTTGGTGTGCCGGACTTGACTTGGGGCCCCAAATGCCCCAAAGCAAGAGGCCAATCATCTGTCCAAATTCCAACCACATCTATCCAAAATATCCACCCAAACGTCCGATATCCATCCAGATCCAAGCCTCCCAGAACATCCCAGAACATCCCAAAACCCGCCCACGTCCCGTATGCTCGTTTGGACGAACACTTCGAGGTTCCGGTCTCATGAGACGCTCCAGCTGCAGCCAGGGGTCAACTTCAAGGATCCAACAAATCCAAGGTCGGCCTCGAGCGCTGCACGGATTGCGTGTTTTTTCAGTGATTTTCAGTGTTTTGTCGCCCACCTTCATGGATGCAAATTGGAGGCGAGGCGAGCAGGGTGCTGCTGGGAGGTCCCTGGATTTCCCCTGGAGGTCCCTGTGGAACTGCTGTGGAACTGGTGACGGGCCCCTGCAGAGGACATACAGACTATACTGGCAAATGAAATCATTTTAAACATGTATCACCACATCACGTTTCCGAAGTCCCAATCATAGAAACCAGCACTGCCCAACAGGATGCATAGAGGATCCGCTGACGGTTTATGAGATTTTAGTTGATCAATAAAGTTCTTCCTTCAAAGGGAACATTATGGGACATTATGTTTCACTGAACCGCATTCATAATAAGTTTGGTGTTCATCCTTTACTTGGAATCGCGTCCGAGAACTGTCTCCCCAGATCAAGGTCTTGATCATCCCATATTATATCGCCTCCCGGATGGCGAAAAACCATCACATCCAAGTTGCATGAAGAGACACCCACAAACCGACCTGCTCAGTGCAAAGACGGACGTTTGAAGAAATCTCTGTGAGGCTCCAACTTGGATTCACACCCTGGCGGGTGGCTGTGGTGGCCAAATGCCAGTACACTCTCTCAAGTCGTCATAAGATACCTGAAGTGAAAACCACCTGGTGGTCTTCGGTGCACATGTCATGGGGCGGGTCATGACATGGAGCGCACTCCATGGGGCAGGTGTCCGGTCCGGTCGCCGCATGGCGCGCGAGCGGCCGCGGACTCCGTTCGGCTCCGGTCATGGGTCAAAGGGGAGCTGTCACGATCATCAGCTGGTTTTGGGTGCTGGATGGATGGATTTCCGTGGTATTTTCTGTGGTATGTGGTTTCTGAGCTCTCCGAGCCCTTGGAGTGGACCCGGGCATCCAACTCCCGGGCATCGCGTATACAACGAGCGCATCGGAGCATCCTTTCATACAGGAAGCCATGCGCGCAATCAAAGGGGTGCTGAGTAAGCAGTGCTGAGTCAGTCGTTTTGTCTCGTTTTAAGCCTTTGGAATCCATCTTGGGCTCAGTTCGAAAAGAGGAGTTCGGTTCAGTGTCCCAGTGGCGGAGGCGACCGCTGTCATGAAGGAGACCATGCTGGAAACACGCAAGGGATCAAACCTGAGGAACGACGGATCCGAAACAGATCCGAAGCACCGGTGGGTATTACTATAGAGACCCTGGGACCCTTGGATGTCTTGAATGGGGAGTTCATGGCAGTGCCCAAAAAGTCTGACCAGATATTGAACTTAGATTCATTCTCCTGAGCAACTGGCCTGTTGCTTCAAAGGTATGTGGGATGGACAAGCAACACACGGCCAAGAGCCAAAACCTCGCAATTTGGCAATGGTCAGGGATGGCCAGGGGGAAGATCCTTTCCGTGATATTCACTCACACGTTGATGGCCCAGAAGGACTTGAGATGACTGGAGGATGGAGCAGCTGTCCAAGAAAGGGGAGGAAAACCCACTTTCATGGAAGGTTTTGTAGAGGTTCTCTCAGTCCCAATCGGTTGGAGTGTGACACGTTAGACTTTGACACTTGATGAACAAACAACACCAAATGCTTCACAAAACTATGCAGGGTTTGTGAATCAACAGCCAACCTTCGCCCCTTTGGCATTTTAAAAATGCAGACTGCTTCCATTCTCTTGGTTTCGTCGTTTCCACGTACCGACCTTACATTTAAAACAACCGAGTTGATCTGCCAAGTTTCCCAAGCACGGTCAACATGGCCTGGAGATGGCCAGAGCGAGTGAAAACGCGCTCGGGGGGGTCGACCGGTGTCTTAGATCGTGTGCATTCACGAATCAGCGATTAGGTCTACATGATCAAGCTGGACACGATGAAATCATAGTGTTTTTGTACAGTCAACATAAAAGGTGAGCCCGGACGACCAAAACCTGGTACGAGTAGAGAACCCCTTCTAAGCTGGAGCACGCACAGTTTCTCAAAAGCGCCAACTCTGCCCCTTGCTCATAGAGTGGGCGCGAGTTGGTTCAGGGTTGTTAGATTTTATGTCAGCCTCATCTCCTCCTTCTCCTCCTCTTCTCCTCCTCCGCGTCCTCCTCCGCCTCGTCCTCCTCCGCCGGACCTCAACCACGACCACCCACGCCCAGTGTTCTCTGCTGGACCTCAACCACGACCATCCACGCCCAGTGTTCCCATGCCGGACCTCAACCGCGAGCTCCAGGCCCAAGTGTTCCCTGCCGGACCTCAACCACAGCACACAACCACACCAACAATCACAAACACACAACCACAAAAACACAACCACAACCACAACCACAAACACATCCACAAACACACAATCACAAACACACAGCCACAAACACACAAACACAAACACACAAACACAAACACACAACCACAAACACACAACAAAAAACACACAACCACAAACACACAACCACAAACACAACCATAGGCACAGTCACAAACACGAAATGACAAGCGCACAAGCACAAACACAAATACAGCCACAAGGACAAAGACGCAACCACAAACACAACCACAAACACACAACCACAAACACACAACCACAACCACAACCACTACTACTACAACCACTACTACTACTACCACCACCACCACCACCACTACTACTACTTCTACTTCTACTACTACTTCTAGTACTACTACTACTACTACTACTACCACTACGACTACGACTACGACTACTACTACTACTACCTAGAGAAGCAAAACACTAACAATTTGTACGCTCCTGGATGAAACATCGCTTTTTCTAGGAAAGAGATGGAAAACATCGTCTTTTCTCGAAAAGGATCGTCTTTTTGGTAAAACCACTGAAGAATAGCTCCGGCTACCATAAACAAACACCTGTCTCCCGGATCTTGCTTTCAGGTGAGTGCCGTGGGACCTTAGTGGATCCGCAAGTCACCAAATGTCGAGCATTGTTCCGATTTTTGCATCTGTGTTGGTCATCTTAAATTAAATCGCCTTTTTGTCAATTTGGAGGGCGCCTTCACTGAAAACATAAGACACCGTATTTATCCCGTACGGAGCCCGTACTTAACCCGTACTAACTCATACGGAACCCGTATTTTCGATCTGCACCAAAAAACATTGTGTTTTGAGAGCCCATATTTAACCCGTACGGAATCCGTACTAACCCAAACTAAACCGTACTAAAAATATGGCTTTTTTGCATCCCTGACAACCAGATGCCATTTGTGAGTTCTTAGGCTCGTAGCTGCATGTTGAAGGCTCACTCTCGATCCGGGTGAAAAATGTTCTTGGTGAGGTCGACATTTGGTGACTTGTGTCCGAAATTCAGGTGCGTTTTGTCAGATCCAAAACACACATTTTGGAAAACATCGTTTTTCCAAAAAAAGATTGTCTTTTTCTAATGTACTACGTTTTCTTGGTATCTTGTTTCCCCAGGTACTACTATTACTACTACTAGGGCCCCGGACGTTTGCAAGGTTCGGGCCCCGAAGGTCGGGCCCCGAACTGCGCACTACTATTGCCAATACCACCGCAATACTACTACTACCACTACTACCACTACTACCACTACTACCACTACTATCACTACTACCACTACTACCACTACCACTACTACTACCACTACTACCACTACTACCACTACTACCACTACCACTACTACTACCACTACTACCACTACTACTACTACTACTACTACTACTACTACTACTACTACTACTATCACTACTACTACTACTATTACTACTGCTACTTATTACTACTACTGCTACTACTACTACTGCTACCACTACCACTACCACTACCACTACTACTACTACTACTACTACTACTACTAATACTAATACTAATTACTAATACTAAAACTAATACTACTACTATACTCCTATGCTGCTACGACTAAGACGACGATGACGACTTCTACTACTACTACTACTACTACCACTACCACTACCACTACCACTACCACTACCATTCCTACTACTACCACTACCACTACTACTACCACAACGACTACTACTACTACTACCACCACTTCTACTACTACTACTACTACCACCACCACTCCTACTAGTACCACTACTACTCCTACTAGGGCCCCGGAAATTTCCAAGGTTCGGGCCCCAAAGTTCGGGCCCCGAATTGTGCGCTGCTATTGCTACTACTACTGCTCGGGCCCCGGAAGTTTACCAGTTTTGGGCCTCCTAGTACGACTACTATTGAAATGATCTGAGTTGTATTATTAGTTGGGCACAGGTCTCCTGATGAAAGCATTCGCTTCGGACAAAATTTAACAGTAAGACTTGGCGCTGAAGGACTTGTGCTATGGGCTGAAATACACAACGAGGGTGATGTCAACGTGGCTGTTGTGAAACGTCATGGTGGGGATCACTCGAAGTAAACTATTTGGTCTTTATGAATCGAACAAATGGCGCGACGGGATGGTTGTAATCCTCACCATGCTTGCATACATGACCCGCCACAAAGTCTACTGCCCACTCTGGTGTTAGGAAAAGGCAAGTCACCATCTGCAAACTCTTTCAGAGCACCACCAAACAAAAAGCCTCTGAAGGGTGTAAAGTTGCATTGTGGCCCCAACACACTCCCAATCTCTGAAACCACCATAGAATCAAACCGATTTCAAACCAAACCCTTGTCTTCCCTTCGGACAAACAGGACATCCCCTCATGCTCAACGCATCCTTTTCACGCCTCTTCGCACATCCCCCGGTGTGCATGTCCGTGCGATGGGTGTTCGAGGGTGGAAAAAGTGACTGGCCAAGGGACTTCCAATCCATGTGCAGCTCCCACAATAGCAGTAAAGATTGCGAACTGTGATTGCATGGCCTCACAGACTGGCAGAACAAAGGATGAGTTCACCGAACTCGCGCAAAAGCCGGCAGGCATTCCGAATCAATGCTTTATAGTTGCTTGAATCGGACTGAACGATTTCAATGAGACGAATGGATGAATCATGATGAATGGGATTAACCGGTGGAATCCATGGGCCCTTCGACTTCGATGCAGTCCTCCAGTCCGGTGCTCACACCGACTGAGACGTGTGAGTCAGTACATGTTCCGCTGCCGATCACATCCAGCTTACTTCGGCTGTCTGGGCCACTAAACATAACCTTCCAACATCCACAGAGCGCTGCCCCGGCCGCCTGGACCCCTGTAGTTGGAGAACAAAACTTGTTTGTAAGCCGTAGCCCAGGTGGCAAAAAAAATCAAGGCACTTTGTCGTCACTTCGCGAATCCTATTTACGTACAGCGGGATCTAGAACTTTTACTGCACGACCAGAGTACTTAATCCTAGTCGGGACCGATATGGACCGATCCTGTGTTTGGAACCAAGTTCATTCTCCATCCATGTCTCAGCAGAAGCACTTACATGGCGAAACTGCAAATGGCCCATTAAAGCAGTTATAGTTTATTAATTTGAAGGTCGCTGCTACATGGATAGCTGTGGTATAGTTCTATAGATATAATACATGCGTCCAAGCCCGACTTTGCAAAGGGTTCATCGAAAAGCTCACCCCAGTAAAGCCAAAAGCGCCAGCAAATGCCAGGCACAAAAATCAGCCACGAAGCTTCTGTGCCCATCGTAGTCATTTTTTGGACTCATTCGTGTCTATACGTCCATATATCGTCACCATGGAAAAACACACAGCCCCGCCATTTGGAGCCCCACCTCCTCACGCTGTTTCGGACTCTGCGTGAGGATCTGTACTGCAACGGCCACCTGGGTGCGCTACCGGAGTCCATCTCTGCAGTATCCATGGATTCATGATGATTCATGCATATATATGTATAATATAGTGTATTAATATATATATATATACACATTCCATCGATCTTGAGATCCATGCCATGAAGTCTCCCCGGAATTTGGAATCATTAGCTGCTTAGCTAGTTGTGCCTTGTGAATGGATTGTTGAAAATTCAGGATAATCTCAAAAGAGCAGAAACCACTCTGAATTATATAACATACAATGTAACCCCTCTGAGTCTCTATTGAGACTAGATTCCTGTCTAACATACACATACACAGGATAAACACAAAACTATGGTCATTTTGGAGCGCCCTCCGTGTGGTCCACTGTCGCACGGACCGTGCGGTCCAGTGTGGAAGGGTTGACACCGACACGTTCTGCATGGAAGGGCGAGGAGTCAACCTCCAACGGTGGGAGGCATCCATCACCGGCCCAACACCCTTGAAACGTTGTACAAAAACCGCGTTGATCTCCACGGCTGGATGGCCATGGATTGCCTATGGAAACGAGAACCTGTTCAAAGTCTCTAAAATCATGGACATGATCGGTGTGCAAATCATCAACTCCCATCCGCTCCGTAGCCGACACCTTCTGGGGCAAAAACCATCGAGTCCGAAGCCACTGTCTCATCAGTGAAGTCCCATTTTCCTCCCCATCCCTTTTGCAGCTTGAAACGGGCACAGTGCACCACACCCCCACAAGGGCCCACCAAACACTTGGCTTGCAAAGAAATGAGATGTTATGAAATGGGGCAGTTCCCAGACCATGTCCTTCCAAGGAGCCAATGCAACGGAAGTAACCTTTGCAGGAGGGGGGAAACGAAACACACGAGACATCCCTGCATTTGTCCAGGTTCAATGGATCTGGTTGGGTCAGGAATTCAGCCAATTTAGTGCTGTGTTTTGCTCCTAGGGTTTCACAGGACAAACCCATGTCCCAATATATGTTTCGCTACCCTTCCATTGCCAAGTGCTGATGATTTCACCAGATGTACCCAAAAAACAAACAATATATAGGGAGGATTGGATTCTCTTATTGACCAAACAAAGAAACTGTTATATAATCACAGGAATCTAGTCTCAAAAGTCATTCAACCTATGATGAATCACTTGCAGCATGCAGGGCAAAGCCTGAGCCCGCCAGGATGTTCCGCCCAATTCTTAAAGCGAGTGCTCATATGTGCGACGGACAAAACTCCTTCTGTGTGGCAAGGTCATGGGTATCGCCTTCAAGGGTGGCATCGCTACACACAGCGCCAGCAACTTTTTTGATTTGTCGCCGTTTGGTGGGAGTAGTAATAGTAGTAGTAGTCGTCGTAGTAGTAGTAGTAGCAGTAGTAGTAGTAGTGGTGGTAGTAGTAGTAGATAGCAAGTAGCAAGGTAGCAAGGTAGCAAGGTAGCAAGAAAGTAAGTAAGTATGTAAGCAAGTAAGTAAGTAAGTCAGTCAGTCAGTCAGTAGTACCAGCAGGTGGTAGTAGTGGTAGTAGTGGTGGTAGTAGTAGTAGGAGTAGTAGTAGTATAGCAGCAGCAGCAGTGGTAGTAAGTAACCCCGAGTACCTTTTTAAAACGGACCCCTATTTAAAAAAAGATCATGTGGGAAACCCCTAAATACGGTTTAGAATCGTTTTTAACTTGCCGCCCTTTCAAGCCGCTACTAAACTACCAACAAGGCCGATTTTGGAGGAGTTTTCTAAATAGGTTCCAAAAACAACCGTAACTGCCCACCTCTGTCCACCCTGTCGATCCACCATGACACGCCGTGTTTACGCCAGCAGGCTTTCCTTCCCCCAATGGCACGGACTCACGCCAACGCACTTTCCCCCAATGGCACAGCGACATCACCTTTCGAAAGCTTTATATAGTTGTTAGTCTAATGAAGAATCACTATTATTCTAATAAAGGCTTTTGTAGGGGAAAAGGAAGAACCTTCGATCTGGAGGTTTTGAATTTTTGATACGAGTTTCATAAAGACTTTATATAACAATTTCCTGGTTGACTTTTTGGGTTTTGAAGCCCTTCCCAGGTGACCCTATTTTGGACCACCCCGATTTCAGGGACCCCCTATTTAAAAAAAGGCGACCGAGGTTTCCTTATTAGGCGGGGGGGGCCGCGTGTTTTTTAATAGGTGGACCGGATTAGTAAAGTAGTCTGGCCATGTGCAGATGGTCACTCAACTGGATTGCGTTTATCGCTTGGGGTATCGCTTGGGTATTGCTAGGGGTATCACAGAGAGCAGCTACCCTATTAAAGTCATCCGCCAAAGAAGCCATCGAAGCCGAGCCAGTGAAGCAAAAAATCCGTGTCCAAAATAGAAAACGACCTGGTCAACTAGGAAGTGAACAAAGTCCATGACCAGGAGTTGGCCTTTGAGTCTTCAATCTGAGAGCTTTAGGACATTTTAAGGACTGTCTGTCAGTGTCTGTTCGCAACAACCCTTGTGAGACCATCAAGAAACACTGCCAGGCTGCTCTAGGTTGCTAGGCCCAGGCCATCCAACGAATGGATCAAACAAGTGCTGGTCATCCCATAATTCGGATGCAAAACATGGGACCCGCCATGGAGATCAGGGGAATCGCTCCAATTGTCTGCACTCATAATATGGCCAGACCTATGGCCTTGGCTGATTAGGCGATACCCCCGGTCGTGAACATAGGTATGTGGTATCAAATCGACCCCCTCTATTGTTCCTATACTAGTAAAAGGACTAGTAAAAGGACATCACTGCCTGAACAAGGTCGGTTTCAAGATCGGATTTCTACAGGAAATCCTCATTGCCCAGCCGAGCAACCACGCTCAACATGGCGGGAAAAAGGTTGGAAGCGTCCTGAGTCGTCGCAGTGACGAGGTGGCGACTCACGCGCGTTCGCCGGTTTTCGCCGGTTTTCAGCGCGCCGAGTGACGCCCGTGAACCCCCTCATAGTGCCAGCAAGAAAGCTGTTACTTCCCGTAGAGGAACATTCCACTTCACAGGTTTTCTTGTTGCTATCTTGGTTCAAGGTAGGTTCGGGATCTCTAGTGACAGAACAAACACAATAACATACAATAACAAACACATAATACTAGTTCTTGCAGAAAATGGGCATATTATTCAGCCCTGAAGGTCTTTGAAACCCCACACCCTGAAGGTCTCTGCAAACAATTCCTCAGCAGCCTCCTTCGATGGGTGTTCCACTCTCCCCAGCCTCCTACTCGCATGTTGCCGCTGTTTGCTTTCCGTTTCATCCATCTACGGTCTGGATTTAATTAAAGGTTCCACATGTTCCACAATGTCCCACATATACTTAGCTGGTGTCTGCTGGTTCCTTGTTCTGTTGGATTCCTGCAAAAATCTGGCCATGGTGTTGGGTTTGCACCAACTTGAGAAGGCCCAAAAGTCACTCGGGAGAGGGGAAACTCTACGTGTGGTTGGTGAAACAACCTGTTCCCTTGGAAACGCAACAAACCCAAGCCAAACTCGGAAATTCCAGAAACAAATCCAGCAACTAAAGAGGTTAACTCAGAAGATATACGATGATACCGATACCCCTAATTCCAAAACATATAAATAACATAAGAATAGCGTGTCCAATCAACGCATTATCTTTCGGGAAGCCCTGCCAATGTGGAACTTGTGGGCCTGTCATGATAAACCTTTGCCGTCATAGAATATCAATAGAATCACATATCAAGTAATTGATTGTACAATCACTAGAACGAGAAAAACATGGGACGCAGTCGCTGCATTCACTGCAAACCACTCTGCAAACCACTCTGCAAACCAACTATTGCTTGTTCAGGGTCCCATATATTAGGTTTCAAGGAAACCACATCTCTTGCACCACTCCCGACTGCCCAGTTCGATGCCGTCCACGACTGCTGGGCCAGGCCACCGACTTTCAAAAGGCACACCAGCCAGGAGCTTGTAGTGCTACGCGAACCGGTGTGTTCGGAAAAGAACACAGTGTAACAGGACTTGCATTCAAAATCAGTGATGCACTATGATGCACTTTGATGGAGTACTTCATGAATGGCCATTCTGAATGTCCAGCACGCATAACCCAACCCAAACTACGCACGAGACGCCAGTCTCACAGAGCATGGTCAGCGAAACAGCGAAACTACGCGCTGGAGCCCAGAAGCCGAGAGCGACCGTCCCGCGCTTTTCATCCCGACGAGGTCCCTCCATCAATTCAGATCCACCGGACCTGACTGTAATCACCGAAGCGAGTTTAGGCCTATCCTAGTACCAGTAACGGTGGATGATAATGAACCTGCCACCGAAACATCTTTTTTGGGAATCCCATGTCGGAGCGGTACTGTTGTTAGACCCCTCCAGTGAGTTTTCATGAGCTGGGCACCCTTTTCCCCAACCCCCATCTCCATGTTCCGAGCACCTGAACTCCGAGTTCCTGAAAATGTTGTTTTGAGACCACCAAATATGTATACAGAGTCTCATCAAGATCATCCCATGCCTCTTTCAACAGTTTTTTCACCATGTTTGGCCATTTCCACACAACCGGATGGCTGGCTCCGGTGGGTGGTCTGTCCAATCGTCGATCCGACCGGGTTTTGGCAACAGCGATCCACCGGGAGACGGGCCACACCTGAAGCTCTCCACCTGGTGACGAGCCAAAGACCGTCAAAAACTAGCAACCGTTGGCCTACGGGCTCCAAACTACTAGCAATCGCCTTTCACCTAAGAGCGATGGCCTCCAAACTGCTAGCAATCGCCTTCCACCTGGGAGGCGATTGATAGTAGAACCTTCAATGGGGCTTCACTGTTCAATCTATTTGGGTGGGCCATGGTGGACCACTGTAGTTGAGAGAAGTCAATTCAATGGGCTAACCCAATGGGATGAAAACAATTGATCCGAGACCCTCGGAAGCAATCCAAGTTACAGGGACAGATTCTTAGGGTGTCATCTCTATCCACCGTTGGCCTAGTCAACGAAAACATCCAGTCTGACCAGCTCATGACCTCTAGATCTGGAATCCGTGGAGTGAACATGTGGAGTGAACATGTCCCGACGAATGTACTCCCCGATGGGCCGAGAAGCTGTTCAGATTGGCTGGAGCTGTGATGTCCTTCAAGGCCTCTTCGTCCAAACATGCCAACTTCGGCTGAGAGTTCTGGCCGCGACTCGCGGCGGAGCGCCGAAGCGGCGTTCGCCGCCGGTCGAACGTCTCCGGGAATCGCGGCGGACCGGGGCCGCTGCGTTTGATGCAGTGGTCAAGGTTCGTTTCTGTTTGGCCCTCCAGCAACCAAACATGCAGAGATGAGACATGATGACTAATAACATAGAATAGCGGCCTTGGGGCCTAGAAGATGTTCATTCAATCGACAACATTGAAGATGTGATGTGCATGTCTTGTGATGGGTGGGCAAGATTTTGGCATGAACATAGAATATTGATATTGATTCAATTGATTCCATAACATTTGGCCCTGGAGTGCTTCACAAATCAGTATGACACCCTCCAAATGTATTTAATATTCTATATAACTGTAACTACGAGTTTTTCACACGAGCTCTAATAATTACCTATAATTTATATAATAGATTCGGAATATTAAACTGCTAGCCCATTATGATGACAGGATGAAGATACAGTCGCGGTCCCCAGTTGCATGACCCCTGCAAAGGAGAACCGCAGAACAATTCACAGTGTTCAATCCTGGTGCCAGTGTCCAGTTGGTCTGTTCGACAAAGCACCCAGTTCTTTTAACTGAACTCCCCTGAATAAATAAGAAGTTAGTGTTAATTTTAAATCCAACGAGTCTTCATCCACCCGTCCAGTCCTCGCCCAGGGTCATACCTCAGCAAGTGTCAGTGTGAATCCTTTCAGGAAAAACAAACAACTATCAGAAATAACATAATTACAGGGTCTTACGGTCTTACCAAGGGAATTCATTAGGAGAGTAGCTTTCAGCCCTCCATGATATAGACGAAGGGAGGTCTGTGTGACGCCCTGGAAGCCTGGAAAGCCATGTTTCTCTGCAAATCTGGATCTCCGGGCCGTATCCCAAACAAGTGTTGGGGCGTCATCAATGAAAGCTGCGCAACTAACACTGAGAAAAACATAAAAGCCTTCACCCTCCACTGTGGATGGTCCGTCCCCTCTACATCCAGTTCTCAAACCGTTTGATCTCCTTCTCATGTTCATGTGGGTCGAAACCATCTTCTCATTCCAAAGGTGGGCCAGAACCTCGCCACTTACAGACCGCTTGTGTTCATTGATTCTCACACGAAGAGGGTGAGAGTGAGGTCTCTGAGACGTCACGGTGCCCCGGGGCAAGGCTACGGAGCCTGAGCCTTGAGCTCGGGGTCTCTGTTTATGGCCCAGACGTGGCCGGGGTCTCTGTGTCACAAAGTTTTATACACAACAAGAAATAGATATGATAGAAATAGGCACCTTGGAACAAGAAGCTACTAGGAACAAGAAGCTACTAAGGGCTCCTGGCATCGCTACTAGGAGCAAGGACGCTACTAGGGGCTGCTGGCCGTACTACTGGAACAAGAAGCTGCTAGGGGCTCCTAGCATCGCTACTAGGAGCTAGGACGCTACTAGGGGCTGCTGGCCGTACTACTGGAACAAGAAGCTACTAGGGGCTCCTGGCATCGCTACTAGGAGCAAGGACGCTACTAGGAGCAAGGACGAGGGGCTCCTGGCCGTACTACTAGGAACAAGAAGCTCCTAGGATCTTGGCTGGAGGTTCCACTCTCTTGCCACCCAAAGATCAGCAGCCAGCATGCCGGGCGCACTTTGGGGGTGCAATATATGCGTCACCCCCGTTGTGGGGGTCTCCAACCAACTGGGCCGGACACGAGGAGAAGCTGTGAATGCATGTGTGCGTAAGAAGACTCCTGTAGAAACGCTATCCGCTAGGCCCTAAATTTCAGGTGAGGGTGGGTATGACTCTCATGATTCTCACATGATTGACATCCATTGGACTTCTCATGCGAAATCGCATCTTCACCAGGAGAGTACGCAACGCTTGACCCACTCCCATCCAGGCAGTTCCAGCCAATGATGGCCAAGTGGCTTCAAACTCTAGAGGCTCCATGTTACAGGAGGGCCTGGCGGCTGGATGAAGTGCGAAGTTGTGCGAAGTTATATCGAATCAATAAAAATCCTAGAAAGCAACATGTTGTTTACTCTGACGGCATTATTATGATAAATTATTGTGATCTTATTGTTTATAAGTGTTTCTTGAGCTATGTCCTTTTTAAATTTTCATGAGAGCCAAATGAAGGGTGATTGTCAGCCACTTGTAGGTGTTGCTCGCTGGAAAGCCCCAGCTTCCCTTACACCCAAAGACCCTTCAAGGACCATCTTTGAGGGCTCTGACCTGGTCCGGAGAAGGGTTCAGCACTGATTTCGTTGGTGCTCTCTTCGTCTTCGTCTTCCTTGACCAGATTCAACTTCTGTTTAGCTGTTCCTTTCCATTGGTGTGCAAAACAGACTCTGACAATATATAGACATCCTAAAGTAGATGGACTATGATGTGGAACAGTTCAACACAATCTGACTGAAGTTCATTGGAGTTTGCAGGCGGTCTTCGGCCCCAAAATCGGTCCAAACAAAGACGTGGTCCACTTGTTGGTACAGTGACTGGGGTTTCTTCATCGTGGTCCACCGGTGGGTGTGTCCTCGATAAGTGGAAAAGATTCTCTGTCGATGGCTCCTCACTAATCGATGTCTCGCCAACGCGATTTCGCCTGTGCTTTCATACTCGAGAGTCTCGAGGCGAAAGAAACAAACGGGCCGAGCGAACGAGAAAGAAGGATACGAGCTTTGGTTCCTTTCAAACAGGTCCTTTTCTTCGTTTAGTGAACTGTCTGATACTTGAGAGGACAAAGAATGTGACAAATTGCTAGAGATTTTCCTGTTGTTCATGCTCAAGTCTTTGGCACTGCCCTCATGTTTCTTCTTTGGCTCGGACGGGAAAACGCAGCAAGATCATTCTTTGGCACCTAAAGGACATCATTGAAATCATGGAACTACTTCAAGAGGCTTTCCACGGAAAACCGGGGCTTTCGGTGTTCCTTGTTGGACTTTTGGAGGCTGAAGTTGGTAGATGCTTGTGGGTTTCACCGTCCTCATTAAGTGCTCATGGATCGGTCTGACGGAAGAGCGACTTGTGGACGACACGACCGTCGCGACCGTCGCTCTTTTCTGCGCCATGACGACCGCGCACCACCTGCATTGACTGGCGCAAAACAAACCCCGTAATGACAAGTCCCACCCTCCCTGGAACTAACATGGAAGTGGTTTTCCCACTGAGCGTACAATTTGGTTAATGTTAGTTGAAGTCGCTTTTTCCGGATTGTTCGACAACAACGTGGACGGATTGAATGGCCTGTGATCACAAGTTGCGTGCCTATCTCTACATGGAAGTTTAAATAAAGACATGGCTTGTTGGCTTGTTGCGGTAAACATAATCCCCAACCAACTAGATTATATACCACGTTTTGAGCAGGAACCAGCTTTTCCGATTCATAAAACATGTGTTGATCATCGGATCATGTGCTTCTTGACTACCTGTCCCACAAGAAAGCCCTCCGAACCCCTGGCGTGCCGATGGTCGGCCTCCATGCCTCTGCCGCCGGTCTTCAGCAATGCAGAGGTGGACCAAAAATCCAGTCATGTCTTGTTTTGCATGCTTTGTTTAGGTGTGGCAAAGGGTCGTTGGACTGCCGTAGACGGCACTGCGAAAAAGGGTCAGAAACATTCGAAGCTGCTTAATTAGCCCACTAATTAAGCCTGACTACCTTGAGCTGAAGTGCTTGGTAGGAGTGTACTACAGGATCCCCACACCACCTCGAGATCAAATGACGAGTCCAGAATCCAAGACATCTTCTCACATTAGGTCGGGCAAGTTTAACGCTTCAAACTTCACATGTCCGTTGCACCAACAAGACACCCTGTTCAAAAGAAGAGGTTCTTTTGAAGACCAAAATAG